TACTTTCTACTTCTTACATTTTGAACACAAAATACCTGTACTTTCTACTTCTTATATTTGAACACAAATACCTGTACTTTCTACTTCTTACATTTTGAACACAAATACCTGTACTTTCTACTTCTTACATGTTGAACACAAATACCTGTACTTTCTACTTCTTACATGTTGAACACAAATACCTGTACTTTCTACTTCTTACATGTTGAACACAAATACCTGTACTTTCTACTTCTTACATGTTGAACTCAAATACCTGTACTTTCTACTTCTTACATGTTGAACACAAATACCTGTACTTTCTACTTCTTACATGTTGAACACAAATACCTGTACTTTCTACTTCTTACATGTTGAACCCAAATAACCTGTACTTTCTACTTCTCACATTTCCCAACAGGCTGGTTCCTTTAGTTTGAATGTGTGTTTGGTGGCGTGATCATATTATTTAGAGTCATTGCGTGCCTATTGATTTGAACACGATCCGTGTATCCATCATTTCCTGGTCTTCTCTAAAGAAGAAGACCAATGGAAACGTTGTCATGTTGCCGTTGTTCAGCATGGAAACATTCATTAGCTAACAATGACATTATTGTTCTATTAATATAAAGGGAGGTCAGGTACTCTTTAAAACAGCTGCTAGTTATGGGTACTTTTTACTGAAGTACATTTCAAAGCCTCTTTACTTTGACTTGAGTAAAGGAAGTTTAGTCAGTACTTCTACTTTCACCAGAGTATTTTTAACACGAGTATCTGTACTTTCTACTTGAATAAAGGATGTTGCCATCTCTGTTGAATAATCCTGACCAAGTGTGTGAATGTGTAAATTGGGCGTGAGATTATATTGGGAAAACATATTTTTTATCTTTTCCTTTTTCAGGGCGTCAGACATGTCAGCCAACAACTCTTCCTTCTTCGATCATCCCCATCAATCTCCTGAATTTCTCTTTTTCACCTGCCATGAAGTCGAAATTGGAAAACATTATCTTTGGCATTTTCACCGTCTGCAGCACCCTCATCATCGTCCCTCTCTCCGTCACTGTCCTCCTTACTTGGGCACCAGCAATGGCGTCGACATCGCCGCAGTTAAACAAAACCACTCGGACATCATCACCTACAACATGGCCGTCATGGAGGTCTTCCTGGTGTTCGGATCCATCTTCTACTTCCTCCAGCATCCTTTCTCACTCAAAGGCCATGAGGCTGGTTTCGACCCATGTTCACTTCATCACCAGTTGCGGGCAGATGTCCTTACACATCCTAATTTGTGTCGAGCGGCTACCTGGCCGTGGTTCATCCCATTAATACCGGAGTTTGAGGCAAAGCCGCTGGCAACACAATCAGAAACGTCAGCGTTGGGAGTGTGTGGCTGATTGCCTGTGCGGAAATGAGCTTAACGTGACGGAAAATGAGGTTTTTATTGTTTATGCTGTACACTGTGCAACTGGCGCTAACCTTGATCAGCATTTCTTTCTTTAGCTTCTCCGTGCTCAGGTTTTAAAGCGTCCAGGACCGGGGGTTGGAGGCATAGCGATGGTTGGATGGTCGATCAAAAAGGTGCGCGTTCTCCACCCATCACGGCCATTTGGTTGGCGTTATTGTTGAGGCTTGGGGGGAGTTTGTTGTCAACGATGTTCTACACTTATCGCTGACGAGCCAGAGTGTCCGGTGCGTGGTGATAGAGGCGAGTGCCTGGTTGGGTTTGCCTTGTAGTTTGGTGTTGCCACTGCTGTTTCTGCACAGGGCGGGAAAACTAATGTGTTGCAGGAAAACTGAGTCAGGATAAGGGTCCGCGTAGATTAGTGCCAGCGAGGATGTATGTATTAGGCAGGCAAAACTGGAAGTTAGTCATCACAAGGGCTCACTCGGAAAAAGATTTGGACAACAAGAGTGTATTTTAGGGGATATTAAGAGCATTTTCGAGATATTTAGTTATAAACTTAAAGTAAATGCGATTAAATCCTGGCTTGGATAACTTATTCTGTCTGAAAAAGCTCCCAGAAAAAGCCCAAACACAACACAATAAAAGCTAAATGTGCTATGTTGCATTTCTAACATCATATGTTTTCCATAATATGACTATGAACGTGTATTTCAGGGACTAATAACGAACATTTTCTAGCAACTTTGGCTAAATTCAGGATAAGGAGAGACAACTCCTAGCCTACTTTATCTAAAAAATCAACCAAAAAAGATGATTTATTATAAAAGTGGACACAAAATAAACTATAAAACATGAATCTGTGTGAGAAACATAAAGCCAGCAGAATGAAAACTAAATAAAGTAAAATGCATTTTTAAAGAACATTTTGGAGATATCGACCTTCTAACTTTGAATACATTTGGCTAAATTCTTGCTTAAAAAAAGACACATCCCTCACAATTAAATAAATGAACACAAACTAAACATAGAACATGATAAAAGTTTACATCAAATAATCTTGGTGGTAAAAACATGAAAGATTATCTCCTCATATTAACACCACTTTATGATTTCTGAAGTAAAAAGTTAACATTTGGCTATAAAGGAACAACAACATGACTTCACGTCAACACCGCTAAGCTAAAGGAGGCTAATGTTGGGCTTACAAGGAACTACAGCACGGTCACATGACTTCACGTCACCACCGCTAAGCTAAAGGAGGCTAATGTTGGGCTTACAAGGAACTACAGCACGGTCACATGACTTCACGTCACCACCGCTAAGCTAAAGGCGGCTAATGTTCAGCGTGATGACGTTTCAGAGTCTCATTTAGACAACCGCCACTTCATTGATGTATTTCATGTTGTAGAAGAAAGCGTTAAATCTCTTAGCTTGTGTTAACCACATACCTTCTTCAGGCATCTAAAAAAAACTGCTCGAATTGAAAACAAGCTAACAGGAATTGCTAAAATGCTGACTCATCTAGGGATTTTTGGACTGACATGTGCACCGCTCTACAAATAACAGAATATAATCACTATAGTCAGGACAAAACAATTAAATATAGAGGCATTAGTGTGTTTTGCAGAGGAGTTCAGGTATGAAAAGAGGTTGATAATAAAACTATAAAAATGTCTATATTCGTGTCCGTCTTTAAAAAGAGGTTAGAGCAGCAGTTGTTAGTAAAGAAAATGCACTAAAAGTCTCGGGACTTCTTAACATGTTACTCTGAACTAAAGCATTATTTTCTCATTGTCATATGAATAAATGTGTGTCCTATATCTTACCTATTTTAAATGTATGATTATGGACCATTAAGTAGTGACGGTGGGATTAGTATTGGGGTTTTTGCTGAGTGTAAAGGGTTTTGTAGGTTGCAAATTATTCTGTAGGCCTATAATACATGAACTCTCATATTTTAAAATATCCGTAAGATATATTTTAAATACTTGCTCTTTGTTGTCTGGGCCTCCGTTTTGTGTCTTGAATATATTATTGGAGTGTTGTATTTGTGTTTCTTTTTATCCCGAATTAATAAATAAACAAATAGAAATAAGTGTGCTTTTTTATTAATCTCAATATTATCGATGTTTTAAGCGTGCACATTACCTAAAATCTGCAAAAAATACACAACGTAATACATGTTTCCATCCACTACTGTTATGAAAATACTGGACTTGGTGCATTCGGACTGTTGGTGACTAATTGTAGATTTTCTTTTTCAGTATTAGATATTCATGCTAATTTCTGGGGAAGAAACAGCAACAAAAGGGGATTTATTGTAAGATATATTACATTAGGCTTACTTGCGAGTACAATCAGAAGTAGAGGCTGGAAAGCAAAAGCGAGAAGCAACATGACAAAAAAGGTTTTTTATGCAAGGCTGATGAGGGGAAAATAGCAACAGGTGAGCAGGTGATAAAGAAAGTCAGGTAAAATGTCAAAATGTCTTAAAAGTCAATTTTTCGAATGACTTCAAAAATCTAGTACATGGTATTTTGTGTATTGTAATCTTTTTCTGACCAATTCCTCTCTTATTAAAGATCAGAAAT